CATAGGGCAGGGGTTGGCAGATTTTTTTTAAGGGCCAAAAATAAATAGTTCAGGCTTTGTAGCCATGTGGTCTCCGTCAGAACTTCTGACTACCACTATTGCAATGCAAAAACAGGCTTAGCCAGTGTGTAAATAACTAGGGTGTGTGTGTTTCAATAAAACTTTATTTATAGACACTAAAATTTGAATTCCAGATAATTCTCATGAACTATTATTCTTTTGCTTTTTAAAAAAGTCATCTACACGCTGGCCGGCTTGGCTCAGTGGATAGAGCGTCAGCCTGTTCATTGAAGGGTCTGAGGTTCTATTCTGGCCAAGGGCACATGCCTGGGTTGCAGGCTTGATCCCCAGTGGGGGGCGTGCAGGAGGCAGCCAATCAATGATTCTCTTTCATCATTGTTGTTTCTATCTCTCTCTCCACCCTTCCTCTCTGAAATCAATAAAAAATATATATATTTTTTAAAGTCATCTACGTGTACATAAAAGGCTAACATGCAAATTGTCCCCTCAGGAGTTCAACTGGGAGACCAGGAGTTCGATCGCTCGCTATGACATGTGCTGACCACGAGGGGGTGGTTCGGAACATGGCGGGCGACCAGCAGCGGCAGCAGGGCACTGAGGGAGCAAGGGGAAGGAGGATGCAGGAAGGCCAAGAGGCAGGGAACCTGATCAGCCCTGATTGCTGGCCAGGCTTAGGGACCCTACCCGTGCACGAATTTCATGCACCAGGCCTCTAGTTTAAATATAAAAACCATTTTTACCTCACGGACCTTACACAAATAGGCAGCTAGCCACATCTGGCCCTTGGTCACATCTTGTTGTTGGGCACCAATGGTTTGAAGCAGGACAGGAAGTGGTCAAATCTGTATTTCCTATAGCCCCCTCTGGCTTCAGTGGGATTTTAAGGGTCAGGCCTAAGGACAGTGGCAGTTTTTGTAAAGAGGCTGAGTGGCAGTCTGGATGACTGATGGCATGGGCCTGAAATAAGGCATTGTTAACACAGACGGGAAAGAGAGGCCTGCTCTGTCTGAGACATATATTTTGGAATTAAAATCAGCAGAACTTGGTGATAGATGTGCAGTATAAGGAGTAAAAGAATGATGTTCCAGCTTCAATTTAGTAATCAGGTGCCCCAGCTCACTCGCCAGCAGAGGAACATAGGACATCTTAATGCATATTTAGGCCTGGGGCCTTTTATAGAATTTTCCTTTTATTTGCAAAATGAGAGTAATGTTAATAAATAGTGACTCACCCGCCTAGCCATAAGGTTGCTCCCGTGGTATGAATAATTTTATTTGTTGTTGAACAGATAATCTAATTCTAAGTGCTACTCTAGAAAAAAATGATATGCCAATGGGAAATTTCTAAAACTTCTGCTCACTATTGCTGTGAACCTAAAAGTCTGAAAAATAAAATCTATTTTTGAAAAATGAACTAGATCTAGCACGGTTGATCTGGAGGACTGTTCATGATATGCTACCATATGAATAAAGCAAACGGCAGAACAACAAAAAGATATCTCAGTGTCTGTAATAATTCCTAGTTATATTGACTTTTTTTTCAAGTCATGTCACAACAAAAGAAGTAGCTAAATAGTTTCTTTCTGTTGGTGGCAGTGAAAACAACCGTAAGTGTTAGACCAATGGGATCAGTCTAGATCTTGGTTCAGCAACCTCAGTTCTTGAGTTCTGACCAAGAAAGAATTCAGAGCCAGGCCCAAACTATAAGCAAAAGTTTATTTTAAAAGTCACAGAGGTAGAAGTGAGCTGTAGAAGAATTGGGTTCAGGAAACAAGTTACAGAGGCAAAAGAAGGGCTCTTGGGGCTTAGGAGAGAGGAAGGTAAAGGTAGCACCCTGGGGGTGGGGTGGGGGGCCAGAGAAAAGGAAAAGGCAGGAGTGTGCTGGGAGGGAGAGAGCATGATGGGTCTTCCATCCTAAGGGTTTTTAGGGGTAGAGATTTTAGGGGAGGTCCCAGGGGAGGATCTCAATAGAATATTAATTAGCTTTCCAGTTGTGTCCTTTCATGGTCATGGTTTCCACTGATTGGTCGATGCCAGTGTGTGTTTGTTGGGGGCC